AGAGGTTGAAATTGCTGCTTGAAGCAGTGGAAGAGGAGGATTGCTGAATTCTGTTTGAGGGTGCCTTTAGCGACGAAACGGCACAACCATCCACGTACTGCTGCTCCGGTTCATCAGAAGGACAAGGAAAGTTGTAGAAATCTGCTGTGCCCAGGGGATCCGGCTGCGAAGTTAAACGCTGAAGGTAGCAGTTTCCTGTGCAAAAAAGAACAAAGACAACAGTTTTTGCAGGAAAGTCACAGAGGACATTGAAGTGAAAATCCAGCCAGTTTTAGTCAACAGCAAAGTAACCAATCTAGCGAGAAACCTGTAGCTCAGACGTGAATATTGATGCCGCGCAGCTGCGGCCAGGTGGAGGACTCTAACAGACCAGCTGGGTGAGTCACAAAGCCAATGCAGTCGCTCCTCACTCGAGGCCACAATCTGATTGGTCCAATCTTGTACGCCTGGCCTGCACTGTAATAAGTATGCCAAACGACTTCTACTTTTGCGCTCTTCTTTTTGTGTTTACAACAAAGATTGGTAGAAAGACTAGAATACTTTGACCTGCAGTTGTTAAATTTAACTCTTAAATCTGCCCGGACTTAATCGAGAATAGATTTGCGGTTTTTTTGAAGATCTATCCGACATTTTCGCAGGGCTCGTTGCTTTGAATTGGATAATGCACCGCAACAAATTCATAAGACAAGTCATGTTAGTAAGGTATTTACCTAAATTATTAAATGTCCGTGAAAATAGAGACGTTTATTTTACAGTCGCACCCACTGTCTGCAAGGACTTACGGTTGAAACAGAGGAGTAATTCTAGGTTGTCATCGGATCGCATCTCGATCACGGCCACGGCCTGACTCTTGCAGTTTTCCGTACGATAGAGATGCAGAGTCTCTCCTGTCCGTTCGTCCAACAGATCGAACTGGTTGCGGTAGCCAGCACATATCCGGCCGCCTTGGTTACTGTCTAGAATGTCCAGTACTTGTACCGGCTCGCTGGTTGGAACCTCCTAAAAATCGTTATAAATAAGGTTTCCAAATGAATCTCCAAATTGAGCTAGGATGAGCATCTTCACTGTACAACGATCTCATGTCCTGGTATACTGCTGTAGGGAGAAGACGTATTTTTTTTTGTTTAAAAACTGGGCAGCACCGAAAAAGATACAGCAATCTCGAAGGCCATCAATGAACAAACGTTTGTGAACGTTGACGAAAGCTGAGTCAGAAGTAGAAGAAGAATTGTATTTGCCTGAGACCGAAAGACCCACTGCCACAAGTGAACATGGCTCGAGTAGTTTACCGGACCTGTTGCAGTTGTAGAGAAAGCTACTTCATCGTAATTGATGGAGGGAAAAGAAAACAATCAGCTTTTTTTCCTAGACGTCCTCGTTTATCGCAAAGACTGTAGTGGTCTAAAAACTCAAGTTTCAGGAAAGCGACCAACACTATGCAAGCCCTGAACTTCAACAGCAA